ATGGGTGAATTGACCTTCTTTCTGGGACTACAAATCAAACAATCATCAAATGGAATCTCAATCTGTCAGGGGAAGTACATTAAGGAGCTTTTGAAGAAATTCAATATGTTTGATTCTAAACCTATTGATACTCCTATGGGAACAAACTCCAAGCTTATAGAAGATGCATCTGATTCTCTTGTGAAACAACCACGTATAGGGGAATCATTGGATCCTTGTTGTATCCTACTGCTAGCAAGCCTGATATTGTATATAGTGTTGGAATGTATGCTAGATTCCAAGCATGTTCTCGTGATTCACATTTGAATGCTGCAAAATAAGTTCTATGATATTTGAAGAAGACAGGGGACATGGTCCTTTTCTCTCCAACAGGTAACACTTTTGATCTTTTTGGTTTTGCTAATGGTGATTTTGTTGGTTATCACGTTGACAAAAAGAGTACTTCTGGAATGACCCATTTCCTTAGATCTCCACTCATCTCTTGGGGAACTAAGAAACAAAATTTTGTGGCTCTTTCAACAGCTGAAGCTGAATATTTAGTAGCTTCTGCATGCTGTTCACAATTATTATGGATCCAACATTTAGAGGATTTTGGTGTAATAAGCATGGCCATTCCCCTTATGTGCGATAATACTAGTGCAGTTAGTATGGGAAAAAATCTAATTCATCACAAGAGAACTAATCATATTGATGTTAGACATCATCTACTGAGAGACAGTGTTGAAAAAGGAAACATTGTGCTTACATATTGTCCAACGGAGGAATAAATTGCAGATATCTTTACCAAGGCTCCTAGCAAAGACCAATTTCAAAGTAATAGGTTAAAATTGGGCATAATGACTTTTCACTATTTTCCAGATATTAAATAGTTGAATTCATTTTATAGCTAAACTTGTAGTGCAAGTATCCTTTGTGTCAATAATATATTATCTGAGTTAGATCATTTTTGGTACCTATTGTAGGTATACATTTAGCAAGGACTAGCAACGCAAAGACATGGCTAGAACAATTGAGGAATGATGATAAAGTTGTGTTATGGGACCTTGTCCGAGTCGAGGTTAGCATTTGTACATTAATTTTAATCTTAAAAAAAAGTGACCGTTGATAAAGCCACGTTTCAGTCATCAGTCATTATGACCGTTAGTCCCATCGGTTACTTTTCAAGCGACGCGTCAAATCAAGGGACTTGACACCATTTCAATTTTTTTAAACGCTTCTTCTTTTCTTTTTTATTGTTTATTCGTCTTGCAATGTTCCTCCACTATAAAAGAAAAGGGAAAAGAGAAAAGGCGAAATCGGTTTTTATCCCTTTTTCTTTTTCTTCAAAACGGTTACTCTTTTCTTGTTCTTAACAAAATGTCTGATCCTTCATCTACCTCTAAGCAAATGCTTACAACCCATAGTGAGATTGAACCTATTTCTTTCTATTCTCCTTCTGTAGTAGGATCAAGGTCTAATATTCCATCATGCTCTTCGCAAGATATTCCCGAAAATCTGTTTCACTCCATAAATCTCAACTGCTCAAGTGTTCCTACTGGACCTAGTCCTTATCATGAAATGCTTTCAGATGCTTTGTTTGAAGGAGATTTTCCAAGGAACAAATCCTCTGAGTGAAACATTCTTGCTTCAAGTGATGAGCTGGTGATTGAAAGTCTTTCTATGATGAGAGGGGAAGTCATGGTCGAACAAAATAAACCTTTTCAAGTTGAAGAGATCAGAGACTCAGCCTAATTTTGATAAAACTCCATAGTTTGGGAGGTATCCATCTTCTAACTCATCTGATTCAGCCAGTGATGATGAATCTATTCAGTGGAAGGTTGAAAGGAGAGATGTCAGTGTATCAAAAAAGGGAAAATAAAAGGTGGTGGAAGAAGTGCCTAGAAGGAGACCTACTACTAGATCGGATGGCTGATACTTTGAAGGTCAGTGCAAGGTCTACAGCAGAAATCAAGAGTGCTTGAAAATTGAAAGTGTCAAATTTTACAATGCCTGAGTCTGGTGTCATAGATGTGTTTGTTGAAGAGACAGAAAAGAGGCATTGGAAGAAGAAATCAAGAAAGAAAAAGTCAAGAGATAACAAAAAGGTTGAGAAAACAAAATCTACCAAGGAGAGTTCTAAAGGAAAAAGGAAAAGGTCACACGAACCAGGTACCCACAGAAAAATTGAAGGGGATGTCAACAAATAAGAAACATTTGAGAATTTCAGAAAGCAGTCAGTACTGGCTGGGAGGGTTTTTGACATGGGAATAATAAACCTTCGTGAAATGGACTCACTTCATGACATGGTGGAGATTCAATCATGGATGCATCTCTTTGACAAAAAATCTCCAATCTTCATGAAGAGGAAGTGCGTGAATTTTACTATAAACATTAAACTTCAGGTAGATGGAAGTGTCAATACAAGAGCGAATGATATTTCAGTGCATCTAGATGAGTTTCTGTTAGGGAAAATTCTTATGGTACCTCGAGATGGTACCAGGTCTATGATTGGGAAAACTTGTTCAGTTCAATTTGTGGCATTGGTCTCGAAGCTTCCCAGAACAAAGTGTGATCGGGTGTTTCAGAAGATGATGAAAAGTGAGTATCAGTTAGTCTTTGAGTTTGTCAACAAAACTCTACTTCTTCGAACTAAAAAAAGGACCTCAGCTACTTCTGCTGATCTTTATGTGATAAAGATGTTGTGCAAATGTGAACCTTTGAATCTTCCAGGAATCATGCTTGAACAAATGTACAACACTTTCATTGAGCGGAAAGGAATATATGGAATGGGATATGGATACTTTCTTACTAAAGTATTCAAATACTTTAACATTTCACTTAGTGTTGGCAAGGTTTGTACAGTGAAACAAGCTTTTTCAGAAAATACTTTGGTTGAATGTTAGTGCATTGAAGGGAAAGGAAACCCCAAGAGCAAAATGGCTCAATTCATAGAAGACCATGACTAACTCAAGCATGAAGTTGAAGAATTAACTATGCGACTGAATGGAAAAGATGCTGAAATTGCTATTCTCAAAGATGAGGTGCTCACTGCACAGACAGAGGGACGTGGTACTGCACTACTGTGTTTCAAGCCCTGGAAAGGGAAAATGCAGAGCTCAGGGCCAAGGTTATTGCTTTTCAAGAAAAAACAATAAAGGATAATGATTCTGCAAATGATAGACTCACTCTCATTATTCAGTCTCTTTCTCATCAGCCTCCCCCTTCTTAGTCTTTTCCAATCTTTTTATGTGTCTTCCTTGTGTGTCTTGTCTTTTCGTCATTGTATTCTTAGTTCGCTATTAATGTATTGAATGTTTATCTTGAAATGCTATTTATATTATTCCCCTGGTGTTCTAGCTACTATCTCTTGTGAATGTTTTCCTTTGTGTTTGATTGGTATAAGGCTTTGGTCTACTCTGATATTATTGTTGATACTGTTGGTTTACTATATCTCTTTCTTATGATGACAAAAGGGGGAATTTTAACTGATAAGTTGTAGCTGGACATATTTGTAAAGGGGAATACAGTAAGGGGGAAATTTTTTTTTGTATTTCAGGAGAATGGACAAGTAATTCAGGGGGAACATGTTATGAAGTTCAAGTGGTGTCTGGAGTATTTTTTGTCATCATCAAAAAGGGGGGAAATGTTATTTTTCGTTTTGATGATGTGACAAACTCAGGGACCTTGTAAAGGTACCAGGTTCTCAACATGAGTTTTGATGATGTGAAAAACTCAGGGACCGTGTAAAGGTACCACGTTCTCAACATGAATAACTCGTTGACTGCCAGCTGGAAAAGGTACATAAAGTGGGTGCACATTTTCCAACGACGTCAGGAAAGTCAGACCTTTCCAACCAATCGCATGAGTTTAAGGAAAGGGACTTATCCATACAATGTCAATTTTCTTAACATCATTCTATAGTTTTTGCAACTTAAAAAAGCACTCTCAAGAACTCTTCCAAAGGCTATAGAGAACCAAAGTGAAAAATTATTCTATAACAACCGAAAACTCAGGTTCATATCGTGTAATTGTTTGAGAATATATTCTTTTGGTCTTACATTGTAAACTGTTCCTAAAATCTATAAAGGAATCAGTGTGGTGGGTGTTGAAATTCTAAGTTGTCTAGAGGGATAGGTTAGTGGGTAGAATAACTTCTACGAAGGCTTATCAAGCAATAGAGATATTGCTTGATTGTAAGATTAAAAACTTTTTCTCACATTTGTGTAACTGGTTTTTCTTTTGCTTACGAAGATTAATGAAACATTTGTGAAAATCCTGTGAAACATGCCGTGGTTTTACTCTCTTAAGCAAGGAGGTTTCCATGTATAAATTTTGTGTTGTTAAACTGCATTTACTTTCTGTTACATTCTTGTTTGTGTGTCAAGGGACCTGGTCTATTGACTGATAAGTGGACGAATAGATTCTAACAGTTTCTCTTCAAATGAACAAATTTGAAACACTACACTAGATTTACGACTAATAATAATATGAGCTAAATACCATGTCGTCGTTTTCTTTCTGTGCTTTTGAACCTTCTAATCTCGTTTGTCTGTTCTTCTTTATCCTTTTTTCTAACATGTAAATTTTTTTAAAGTCACATACCCTTGGGTTTTCTTTTTATTAACATACTCTTTTATAACACTAAAGTCAATTGAAGCTGTGTATTTATTATAACATTCATAGACAAGCAAGCTCATCTGAATTAAATTCCATCCCAAGTTTTATGGGCACATAGTTACCTCCACCTTGAGACTCAGTTGATGTAGTTTCCAAAGATCTACATTAAAAGGTATAAATACGACAAACAATCTTGAAGCATAAATTCTAGAAAAAATAACTACTTAACTTCTACTATTCTAAAAATTTAAAATTTCACTTAAAATTTCAACAATCCAATTGAGACATTTTTTCAAACAGGTTCCACACATTTATTCATTATGGTGGTTTCACTACAAAAATCACAAGAAACAAGTATATTTCATGTCAAACTAGCAAAAAACAATGCAAATAAGAAGAAAAACCTGTTTTGGTTTCGTCACTTAATCGCCGGAAAAACTTCTACTCATCAACTAATATTCTATTTTCTTGTTATATTTGATTATTGTTGTACCATCTAGGTGATTTAGTCTTCTGAACTAGTTGATAATTGCTGCGTTTCTCCAAGATTTTCGCGGTAAAAGATGTCTTTTTAGCCAGCGATCTTTGACCATTATTTGGTTTAAGAGGCTGGTTATTTAATCATGGTTCACAGGTTTTCTTTTTATTTCAATAAATATGGACCATTAGATTTTGAAACTGACACATTTGATTAAATATGTATGTGCTGGACCAACTGGAGAGATAATATATTGGAGAGGAGCATCTTCCGCACTGGAATGGGTCAGAGTGCGTAGAGTGCGTAGAGAAAAATTAAATGGTTAAGTATTTAATTTATCCAATAAATAAATGATAGATGATAAATAAATATTAATAATAATATTTTTTAAAAAGAGAGGGGTTTACTTTTAAGGGTAGAATTGAACCAAACAGGTGGATTGAGGGGCAATTTAGCACAATAGGTGGATGAAGGGTATATTTAAATCTTTTCAAATAGTTCAAGGTAGTTTTTGTCATTTTTGTTTTTTGTAATTTTGTACATCTTTTTGTCTTACGTGGTATTAAGATATCTCACACGCGTCTCAACTGTATAGAGGCAAGGAGTGTGCCACATAAGACAAAAGATATACAATATTATATATAAAATGAGTTCAGGGGTAATAGGACTTTAATTTATTTAAAGAATCTCTCTAGATCTCAGTCATAGTCTAGGGGATACTTGTGCCTTCTCCCTTAATATTGTAACACTGTTTGGTAGTGAAATGTCATGATCCAGCTCTCTAACTTTAGCCATACAGTTACAAGGGTCATTTTCCTATTTGTACCATGTATAACGTGGATGTTCAATTTACGATAGCGGAAAATCTAATTGTATTTTCAACAGAATTTCAAGTAAAGCAACCCTCTCAAATTTTCCTACATGTACAATTAACCTCTCTATAATAATATCTGATTTGGAAATTCTCTCTGTCCACATGACGTTAGCCTTGTTAGTTATCATGTTAGTGATAATCAAGAATTTTCTTTCCATGTCCACATTAATATGGTCCTGGGCGCACTATTGTCTCCCTTTCAAACGAGCTACACTTTCTATCATATTTGTGCACATGCCAATGTAAGAATGGAAGACCATATTTATATTATCATCATAGTATGTTAGAATTCCACCTGAAGCTTCTTCATGCGGCGGTGAAGTAACCCATGCCATGCTCTCAGAAAAGCGCGAACGACTTTGAACAAAAAGGTACCTATACCTAGGACCGACCCATGTGAGTTGGTAGGGATTACATAGGGGCACGACAAAACTCTCTCTAAGGAAATTGAGTGTAAAAGAACTAAGACACCATGCATCTTGGTAGCATGAACAATGATCATATAATTATACATCTTGATATTTTCCAATTTGGCTTGACATCTATCTTTCATGAATTCCCAACACAGAATTGGAGGAAGGCAACCTGCATCATTTTCTGGATTTTTCTAAATTATAAGTTTGGTGATTTTTTTTTTCTACTTTACTAATCATGTTCTATATATTATGACTTGTTTCCTCTCTTAACCCTTCTTATTAAAGTATAAACATATGTCACATTGGTCTAATTCAATCCCAAAAGCTTATTCATGAGAGGAAGATTGTCCAAATCTATATAAGCATATTGTCGGTCCATTCTCCAAACAATATGAGACTTTTACTCACTCTAACAACCCTTTTCATGCCAAGTCCCAAGTAGAGCGTGAACTGGAGCCCAAACAAAGATAGATCTGGCTCTTATAATATGCAAAGATATGACATCTGGACCTAACTCAATCACAATATATATATATATATATATATGGTAAGAAAATTATGAAATTCGTCTATTTAAAGGGTTTTCTCCTCCTATGAAAATCAAGTCATATGAAAAATAAGAACAATCACATCATCTTGATTCTTAATTTCCTCTTTTATTTCAATGACTTCTTCAAGAAGGGGTTTTAGTTCACAACAACAAAGTTATCACCGAATGAGTTTTTTTTACACTTTACGTGTATATAAATTACTCTTATTAATTTTATAAGTTCATGTTTTTTTATATTGCTTACAATTTTTACAGAATTTGAGAGACAAAAGGAACTTCTAAAGTGAGTTTATTTTAGTTTTTTCTCCCCACCATGCTCTTTAAAAATAACATCATCAATGCGCATCAAAAATATTTTAAGTGTATATTATAAAGTAGATTTGTCTTATTTTCAGGATTACAATACACATTTTTTATGGATGGTTAAACTATTTCCACGTCAAATTTATTTATTTTACATTTTTCATGAATTTTTTTTATGTTACTTACTATTTTGTTTTTTAAAGAATTGAAGAAAATAAAAAAGAAAGCACTTATGCAACAACATGCATTGCTTCGTATGAAATTCACATTGTTGATTTAAAGGAGGAGTATATCTACTTGCTTAACGTTTGATGAAGAAAAACTATCTAAGGAGGTTGACCAATTGATTGAAAAGGTTAGTTATCATCTCATTATAAATATTTAATTTAGCAATATGTATAACGTATACCCTAAATATGATACACCTTTTTTTTTGTAGAACAAAGAGTTACTAAATGCTATTGAATATACCGAAATAATGATTGATAAAGAGTAGAGTTTCCCTCGAAGCTTTCAGTGAGATAAAAAAGTTATCATCTTTGTGTTAAATTAAAAATAAAATAGTTATAGTATTTTACTCTCTATTGAAGGAGCAACTTTACTTATGAATTGCTTAAAATTATATATGAATATTTCTATTTCAATGCATATTAGTCAAATTCAATTGTATTCATTTTTATGCTATTTTATTTTTTTGAATTTGTTCTAATATTTTATGAGAAATCAAATAAATCAACATAGATAAAGATATTCTACCTAAATCTATTACTAAACGAAATGGATTGTGAATTAAAAAGTTATCATCAATTATGACATTATATTTAATGGTATAAACTTTTTTCCTTTTTTGGCTCCATGCACCTGACAAATTTAGTAATATATTAATTGTGTGGTAGCACCATACTCAATATTTTTATTATTTTGAGAATAAATTTTTATGTAAGAAATAAAAAAAATTCGACCACAATTAAATTTTAACTCAAAAACTTACAAGACTGATTAGTTCAGTCCTAAAAAAACCTTACAGATTAATCGAACTTATCAAATTAAAGTCATAAATATGTCACTAGTTGTAATGTTGAACAGATTTGATCATTTTAGTTTGATTGAAATAAACTCTTTTAATCTCCTTCACAAATTTAGCAAATTATACCCCCAATCCTCAGTCCTTTCCTCTTCAGTTTTTTTTTTAAAATTATTATTTCAAAGCCTCTTATTAGTGACTCCGATCCAAACCATATTGGAGAACCATAATGAAATGAATTACGACAATACTTAGTGTTCCTATAATCACACAGATGTTGATTTTCAATATATCCATATATGAATATTTTAAAATAAAAAATTTCACAAATCTATTAATAATTATTTTTTTAAAAAAATTCTAAATGTTATTTTCTCTTTATAAACAATTTGTCAAATTGGCGTTAACAATATTTGGTTAGAATTCCATTATTTATTAATAACTCATGGACATGAGAGTTGAAGAACTCAGTGTCATTATGAGTTCTAAGGCACCTCACATTTGTTTCAAACTGAGTCTGAACCATGTCTAGAAACTTTTTCAAGACAATAAAAGTGTAAGACTTGGTGTGCATTAATAAGATGATGGTATAATTGGATAAATCATCTACTGAAGTGACAAAATATCTTTTATTATCATGATTAGGAACCCAATAAATTCCCCACACATCACCATGAACAATAGAAAAAATAGAAGTAGAAGTAGAAAATCTAGATGGAAATGAGAATCTTACTTGTTTAGCATTGACAGAAACATACATTTATGGGTCATATCTTGTAAAAAAGATAGAGATTCTATCGTAGTTAGAGTCTTAATAGAGCATATCTAAATCTCATTTGCCAAAGACTAGTTACAGAATAAGAGTGAAAGGTAGTGGAAACCGAAGAAGGAAAATTGATAGAACTAGTAAAATTCTTGAAGATTAAGAGTTGTCTGTAGCATATATAAACCTTAATTTTTTTAAGAATTCCCACTAAAGAGATCCTGATAGATACATAAGTTAGAAAAAAATAAAGCAACTCGTCTCAATTACTTTGTTAATTTTGAAATAGGCAGAATGTTGTACTTGAATTCAGGTGTAAAATCTAGTATATATATATAGTAAATAATAAAAAATCTGAATTTAAATTAAACGACTTCACATAAATGTTGTTGATTGGTAACAATTGTGCTTATAGGCTATCATTTACTATTTAACTAAATAAAGACGCCCAAACAATGCCCGAGCCTGACATTTTAAATTAAATGTTCTAATTTTTGTTGAGTATTTTGCAACACCAATAGTCTATATAGCAGATGCATGCTTCACCGTGAGCACGCCTTTAGTTTTTATCTCCTTCCACGGTTTTCGTCAAATTCTTCACAAAATATCTCATAATAAGTTTTAAATTCTATTTTTAGATATTTTAATTATTTTTAGGAGAATAGCTGGACCCATAATCATATATGGATTCATATCCCCGAATCTTAAATATTAAATCATGAAGAATATGACCTCTAGAATACACCCACACCGGAGTCAGAGGAAATAAGTATATTAGAGCTAATTTTGACACCTCCTTCTCAAAGACATGGTTGATATTAGGCCTTGCAACCTTGAGAACCCCGAACTTTTCATCTCCCTGCAGGGCAACTGGGCGTTGTATTAAATTTTATTGGAATTCGAAGCAGTTTGATACAAGGTCTACTTGCCTTGTAGGGAGATGAAAAGGCCGAAGCTGTCGAGGTTGCAGGTCCTAATGTAAACCATGTCTTTGAGAAGGGGGTTAAAATCCGGTACCACCCACTATCATATCTAAATTCTATTTCTATCTAGAAAAGCCTGTAGAGAATAGCAAAAGATAGTATAATTGGAGAACCCTTCTGCTAGCCTAAAATCGTTTACTATGATCGGAAGATTCAACTAAAGAAGAGGAAGCTAGAAGAGAGAAAGAGTATTTTGGATTAAAAAAAAATTGTTATAGAAGAAGACTAGTTGAATTGGGTTGTTTACAAATTACTATGACAACCCCCGTTTATACTAGAGTAGGGATGCTTCTAGAAATTATTTTAGATAGATCTTCAAGAAAATCTAGATTTTTCTATCTAATAAGAATCTAGATTTTTCTATAACTCA